TGTCCCTTCTCATAGGCCTTGCCCAAATGATCAACTGGATTGAAAAAGCCTTCCAGTATCCAATGAGTGATCAACTCATTATAATGAACATCACTGTGTTGACAAAGCAAGTCCCGGCTATGCCAAAAGCAGTCAATCATACCATTGGCTTCTAACACCTCAACTGCACAACGCAGTAATTCTGTAAGACCATTAGGTGCAGCATTTAAAGCAGCCTCGAATTTTGAGACTCCAGCATCTTTTCCTGCAAGTGGACCCTCCAGAAATTCTGACAGACCATTAGCTGCTGCAATCATGGCGTCCTCTACTTTGGTGGCTCCATCCTCTACTTTGGTGGCTCCAGCATTCTGTTCTGCAATGCAGTTTAAGGCTCCCAATAACATGATGATATCAATAGGCAAAACGTTGTCCAGCTTTTCAACGGCCCCACATAATATTTTAAAACCAGACGAAACAGGAAACATTCTCCCCATTTGTAACAAATTCACTGCTTCTCTGCCCAGTAGAGGTTTAACCTCAATCACTTCTTCCGTAATAGTACCTTTACTTTCCCTTCTTGTGCGTAGAACCTTAATATGCTTCCTGTCAAGAACAGTTTTCAAACACAGGATATCATCTTTTTTCATTTTATTTCCTTCGCCATCCAGAACCAATAGAAGATAGTCATCTGCTTCCATTTCGTCGTCAAGTTTTGCTTTTATCTCCTTCTTCAAGCCTTCCACAGTAATCTCCTGCTCTTCCGTATCTTTACCATAACCTTGCCACTCATCTGCACCAGTAGGCAACTGACAGACAATGCTTTCATAAAGAGAAGTCTCGTCATGTACTTGGTCTAGATATATCCAAATAGTTGCATAGCATTTCCATTTCTCCCTTGCACACCTGCAAACTTCTTTGGCGATCCAAGTTTTCCCAACTCCAGCTTTCCCAGTCAGAACAATATCTGTGGCGTGATTTTTCAACATTTGCACTATCTCCTTTACATGTGATTTCAATCTGGTATTCTCATATGATTAAAAACTTGATAAAAAAAAAAAAATTCATAACCGAAAAAAATATTCCAGTGGTAGGTTGGATCATTTTTTGTTGGATATGGTGACAATACGAGTAGGCTGGTATAGGTATAAAATCCAAAGGATAAAATAATTAAAGGCCTGGAATTTCAAATTTGGGCCAAAACAAGTGGGAATTAGATTTTGGGTTTAAGGGGCTGCAGATTGAAATTTGAAATTTGTAGTTCTTTTTTCTGGGTAAAACCCATCATAATGATATAGCTATTATGATATATAATATTATATATATGTTAAGTTTACAATCATAATATATATTATTAAATGAGTGTATATTCTGATTAATCTTGAAATAAGTGAGTGCAATTAATTCAAGTTCACAAAAGTATATTGGTTCTAAATGAGTACACTTTAAATAATAAAATATAATTATAAATGTTGTTAAAAAATGTGTGTTTAATTCTTAATTAAATATTGATGGTGAGATTATTGCTGTGTGGTTTTGTGGATGAATAGAGATAGATGTGTTTTCGATTTTTCTTTTGATTCTCTTGAGACTGGTTTTAATCGGGTTAAATATTTTGTGGAGGAGCTGCATAGGACAGAGGCGGGGAAAGAAGCTACAGATGGAATGAGAAGGCAAGGATTGGACCAAAATGAAGGCTGGCTTTGTGAAGATAAACTCGGCTGCTAGCTGTTTGGGCTGATAGGAATCTTTTGCAGTGTGGGGTGGTAAAGAAGGGATGCCACTGGAGATCTAAAATACAGTGGTGGCTGCTAGCTGCATTCAATTTGAGTTTTAGAAGGATCATGGTAGAATCCAACTCTACGCAGGCTGTTACGGAGGCAAGGTGGGGCTTAGACAGCATGCACGGATATGGCGCTGTGGAGTTATGGAATCTTTTCACTTTTCCCACGTGGGTCGAGAGGCAAATGTAATGGCTTATAAATTATAATATTGCAAATGCGGTAGGAAGGAGGGTGAGAGGGTTTTGGCAGTTGTTGGCCCTGTGTGCCCAGCTTAATTCTCCTTTGTTTTCATATTTTTGAGTCAATGAACGGAACATCTTTTCCATAAAAAAAGGGAAAACATTGATGGTGAGAATTGAGTAGTAGAAGAGATGGCAACAGTGGAGACCCTTTCCTTCTGCATGGGATCTCCATAAAGATTTTTGCAGAAGCAAAAAATACCTCCTCTTCCCATCTTGCAGGGAATGAAGGTGCCGCAAGGATTCCTCATCCCCATCAAACTTCAATAAAATGATGAAAATTGTTTGCCAATTACAGAAGCAAATAATCATTTTGAAATAGATTACGTGATTGAAGAAATTTACCGTGTCATCATTTGTGAAGATCCTTCAATTGCATAGAAATTTTCTGCAGTGTTTTTTTTTTTTTTTTTTTGAGACGAAGAATGGGCAAAGCATTTTATTAATCAAAGATGTAAAATGGTTACAGAATAATCTCTACCCCTTATATTAGGATTTTAAGTGAGTTTTTGTGTGGTGGCGGGTTGGAGTAGGACCGTGGATTATGGTTGTTCTATTATTGAAAGGAGGTGGTGTTCCAGGCGCCGTTTAGCAATACAATTGATCATTGTGGCTTTAATTTTGTTGTCAGCACAATGTAGGATTTGGAGGTTTCATAATAGAAAGGATACATTCATTGGTGCTCAAAACTCTCATGGAAGCAATTTGATAGTGGATTGGAAAGATCTGGTGTGGTTTATGTTGAAAGATCGAATGATGATTAGAGGACTAGTGATTAGTGGCCGCTTTTGAATTTCAAGCTCCTATAGTATTAGGTGTGTATAATAGTATAACTAATATCTGAGAGATAGAAGGATGGTTTAGAGTTGCACTTTTTGCTCATTATCTTTTGTTAGTATCCATTACTCAGCTACTTTACATTTTAAAAGATTTATTTATTATAATATATTGAGAATTATAGATTACTAGTGTGCACTATTTTTAAAGGAGAAAATGTGCAAAATAAAGATTCTTGAACATGAATACGGGCCAATGAAGGACAGACTTAATTAAAAACATAACTTAAAATGAATTGTTTAGATTAAGATTAAGAAAACTAATATAGATTGAGATTTTCTCTACCTGGAAGGTGGTTCCAACACTTTGTCCTCCATTGAAGGTGTTTCCAACTCTTTGTCCTCCATTTCCAACTCTTTGTCCTCCATTGAAGGTGTTTCCGAGATCTCCGAGATCTCTGTCTTCCTCTGCAAATCTGTCGCCAAACCGTTGGCCGCAAAAGAACTAAAAGAAAAATGGAAAAAAGAAATTATCCAGTTCAGTAATGGAATTGTAGCACAAATCCTTTAAAGTTGGGTGATAAAATTACCATCCCTCCTAATTCCAGATAAGAATTTGTTGGGTATTCAACTCAAAGAGCCATGTTATTCATTTTTATCTTTTGCAACCGACCACAGTTTCGTCGGCAATTTGAGACAGGATTTAACCCAGCCCCCAAGAATATATTAAGATAGAGAAAGAATACCTGGAAGCCATGGAGTTGAAAGCAGAACTGTTCTTAGAAGTAGATCGGAGCCCTTCAGGCATTTTGTCGTCCTTATATTTCCAACCACTTTTTTCAAAGTCACGAGCGTTCCTATTATCATTTTTACTGTTTTGGTCTCTAACTTTTTCATTTAGTACTAAAACGGTACTTAAACTATTTTGAATACCGTTTTATCCCACAACCTTTTATTTTAGGATCAAAATGGTCCTTTCGTTAGCCCTTCCTTTGTGTGGGACTGTTAAGTTGCTCCATATTTGCCGCATAATCCCTCCGTCCAGGTTCAGCATCTGAGCCATTGATGCGGCGATGTATGGTAGTATAATTTTATTCTAATTACTTGTTAATTTGAGTAGAAGAAATTTGATTCATTTTAAATAAATTTTTTAATTTGAATTTTATAAATAAAAATTTAAGTATTTGAAGAGTTTTTTCTTTTATAAGATCTAATTTAACTCGATTTCAGATTAATTATGGTTCAATATAATTTTTAGACATCTATAGGTTTAGCTAAAAAAATAACAATATAATTTTATATTTTATTTTATGGCTTAGTATGGTGGTGCCATATTCAAGGTAGGACAGAGGCGGGGAAATTAAGAAGCTATAGATGGAATGAGAAGGCAAGGATTGGACCAAAATGAAGGCTGGCTTTGTGAAGATAAACTCGGC